TCTATTCTGGTGAGAATAATCCTGTTACTTCGCATCTATTCGCTTGTGTGTCTAACTTCAATTCTCAGCTCAGCGATCATGGGTTGTTCCTTAGCTTTTCTCATTTTTCAATTCTTTTTGTGTTTCAGGCAGGCTCTTTATAAAGAGCCTGCTTGAAACGCAAAAAGAATACTACGGATGGTTAACCATGCTAAAAATGAGAAATCTCAGCTTTCATACAAGCAGTTAATGATAATCCTTACGGCTTAACCCTAGAGGTGGAGCAATCTAGCAATACTGAGGCCCATTTTTTTAGATATAAACATTAGAGTAGAAGGATCTGCAATCCTCACATCAGCATACCGTAAACCTTATGCCACCTCTACGTACATACCGGTGGGTTCCTGCAACCCCCTTCACCTGCAAGACTGCAGCATTTAATACTCTTGTTAGAAGGGCATTTTCCCATTTGTCCACCATGCAAGCCTTTTCCACCGAATTAAAATGTGTTAAGAGGATAGCAGCCAAGCACAGTTATCCTGGTCTAACACACTGTCTAATTGAGCGACATCAACGCTCACAATATGCACCCGCTACAAGTACAAAGACCGGCACCAACCCAGAAGATCGTTTACGCCTCCCAGTCACCTTTAACTCGTATGTTAAAGCAATATATGCTGAGATTGCCAGAAAACATCAGTTACAAATAGCCTATAGAAGATGCCCCACAATCTTTGAGATCATCAGAAATGGAAAGGATTATCCAGTTCATAGCAGACTTCCTGGTGTGTACTCCATACCACTCAAGGATAACAGATGTGACAAGAGCCTCATATACATCGGCTCAACCAAACGCTCTTTGGTTACCAGAATAAGTGAACATCAATCAGACCTTTGATGCGAGTGCTACAACATGGCCCTGACCACCTTTGCGTCTGATCCCGATATTGAACCGGAATTAGACAAGGCTGACGTCATTGACTCTGCATCCCACCTAGAGCATCTAAAATGGCTAGAAGCTGTATACATCTACAAAAGGCTAACCACATGACAACATGTATTAATTGAAAAGATGAGCTTAATCTTTCTCTAGCATGGAAGGCCCTTATAAACAGCGATCTTTAAATACCAACTTCTGTGTACCAATGCGCAAGCCCGTTTCAGCGAGTTCTGTTGTGTGAGTATTCGATTTTTTGTTTGAATATCCACGTTCCATTTTTTTTGAAGCATTCCAACGGAATTTCTGTACCTGAAGAAGGACTATCTCTAAAGTTTGAAAACGTTTGTGAAAGGGAGATTTTTTTTCACACAAATTACATTGGTAACAGGTTCCAAATTTAGTATTTCACTCCCGGTGTCAATAAGTTGAGTTTTCTTATGTGAACAGTTTTTTCCTACAATGAATTTAGTAAAAAGTAAAACAACAAATTAGATAACAGATTCACATCTCAAAATTATTTAAAATAGCAGTGATTAATATTCAGCCAAAATTGGATATTACATTTACATCAGTTTTGGAGGTCACATTAAATAAACCTATGTTAATTTGTAATCATATATGGATAAACAATTTTTACCTACAATATTTACCCAAATTTTTACTCAAATTTAAAAATATTTACCCACTTTTTTTTTAAATGTTTTAAATGTGTCCCTTATGTAGAAAATGGTTGCCCGTTCCTGCCTTAGAACATAACTTTTTAAATTATTCTACAATCTTTATAATCCCAATATTCACTCAAATGTTCTAATGTAGTGGAACAAATATTGTTTTCAAAAACATTATCAATTTCTCAACATGCAAAATATGTATAAGATAGGAATTAAAGTACAATAGCCCCTCATTATATTGTGCATGTTGAGAAAGACCAAATGAGCAATATATCAGATGATGCAATATATTTTGTCTATTTTCAATCTTTATGTCAACTTGCTGTTTTGTTCTTTGTATCTTATAGGGTTTCTCAAACAAGATCCTGGGATCCCAGTTGTTTTTTTTAACCTGGGAAATTCTTCTCATTCCAAGAAATCCCACAAATTTCTTAAAATTTCACTTTTTTCTTATTTTGTGTTAAGGTTGAGAAAATTTTGCAAATAGAGAGTATAATTAACTCATAAACTGTCAGAATACTTTTGTATTTATTAATTTTAAGTCTTTTATTAGTTTTTTAAATTTTTGTTTGTTATGGCATGTCACAAATGGTCAATAATCAGAATATAGCTTATTTGTGGCAGGACTCTGAAAATTCTTTACTTGTTGGACCTATAATATCTGGAACAATTGTGCTTATGCTGTCTTAATTTTTAACCATGCCCAGTAGATTAGATAACTGCGTAATGCCCAGTAGATTAGATAACTGCGTAAAATTGGTCAAGGAAACAAACGAGTACAAAGTCTGCAAGTATGAAGTTTTTCTTCATAAACCTGATTATTAAAGCCAAACGATTTGCTGAATTATTGGGCTATAAGCTTGATGTTGCTATTAAAGCAGCTGAGGTAGACAAATCAAGAATACTAGACAACAAAAGAAGTACTACAACCTCGAAAACGAACTTGAAATCTTTCAGGCTACAAGTGAAAAAAACATGTAACATCTGTCTTCTCTTAAATGCATTAAAGACGATTCCACTAACATCAATTAAATCAGAAAGTGTATTCTTGGTAGCAGGACTTTTCGTTACTAAAATAAATCAGATTGACTGATCAGAGTATTAACCATATTTGCTTTTTAAAATCTTAATACAAAACATTATTGTAAGTTTTTATAATATGTTTTATTTTAAAATTGCTTACTCGTCGCGCATNAGACCTCACAATGTTGATATTTAAAATTTTTATTTTATTTTATATATTTTTTGAAATATTTTGTGTGGCATGGGCCACAGGTATGGGCAACCTGCAGTCCCTGGGCCACATGTGGCCCATAATTCCAAAAACCTTAAATAAATAAATGAAAGCATCTCCTTGAAAAGAGCTCTACTTTTATATATAATAATTTTTCTTTTTTAAAAACTGAATTGGAAAAACATCTAATGTTAATTCTAGTGACATTCAAATAATAACTATGCACTGGACTTTATGTTTATTTACTTTTTCATTTGAAAAAAGCTATCTTATATTAGCTAGCCAGTAAGACAAATGCCTAAGCAGGAACATAAAAATAAAGACTGTGTTCACTATGCCAAAAACATTATGCATTTAAAGAATGAAAAAAAAAACCACTGTCTATCAGTGTAAATATTTATACCCATATATATATATGGGTATAAATATTTATTTAAATTTATTTATATTAAATGCTTATATATATATAATATATAAGCAATGTTTATATTTGTTGTTGGTGTTGCTTTCTACAGTGTATTCCCATCTCCTTCAATACATCTGCTGCTATTTGTTTTTACTATTAACTTTATAGACAATGATTATCTTGTATCCTAAACAGAGAATTTATGGTATGCTTCTCAAGTATAAAAAGTATTTTTAATGACAATTTTCTAAATCTACAACTTTCAAACAATAAATGATTTCAGACAATTTTATATTAAAAAGTAGTACACATGAAAAAACATGGTTAATTTCACTAGTTCTTAATATAGTATGGTTGCATACAGGGATGGCCCTAGGGCGGTGTGAACGGTGTGACTGCACCGAGCACCATCATAGTGGGGGCACTGAAAATGCAACAATAGATCGTCTGCGAAAAAATAAAACCTGATCACCTTATTACTACTAAACCCTACCTGCCAAAATAAATACCAAGATTAAAGTAGCCAATATTTATACATTTATTTTTTTATTCCCTTTTGTTCTCCATCTTTCTAGAACTTTCTTTTCATTTCCTTTCTTCCCTTTGGGTGGGACCACCAATCCCAAGAACTGAAGACAATGGGCCACCAGTTCCAAGAACATAAGACAATGGGAGAGTTAAGGCCCGAGGGCTGATAAAACAAAAAGAATGGGGTCCTTAGTCTCGAGGTTTTCGTGTTGTACTCGAATTGACGTCATCAAACTCACTCATGTTACTGTGACTCACATAATCGGTAGTCTCGAGTTAGACCCATCGAGCGAGCTCGAAAGGCGAGCGGAAGTAGATCATATTCACTTGTTTACGTGTGTCGTTAAGCATGATGGGATTATTTACAATGCATCTGGGTTTGCGACTATACTGATTCGACCAATCAACTTTACTGTAACAAGTTGTAAACAAATCAACGTGAATTAGTTTACACGTGTTATAGTTAAAAGTTTTGTCCTATAGCAAAATGGAAACCTCCAATATTTTATTTTAAAAAAGAAACGAAGAACAAAAAGAAGTATTAGTAACATATATAGAAAATAATAAGAAAACGAANTTTGATCATATCTCTTTGTGAAATGTTTGCAGAAACATATTACAATCTGATAGAGTAGCATGTTGCAATATCTTGTTATTCAAATAACATCTGCTAACAACAGGTGCAAAAATGCCATGTTCTTTAAAAATTTAGGTACCAATGATAATGTGATAGTTACTCAAAAAAACTTTGACAAATTATTTGATATTAAAACAAATATATTTTAATTTGACATATATATAAAATTTAATTTAAAATACATTATAATTGTATTTTTTTATATTAAAATAGCTACTTCATTTTGTTTTTAAGAAAATTACATAAATCCCATTGGCAATGTCATTGAAAATGTATAATCTTTAAAATGAATAAACTAGATTACATTAGACACTGTGAGGTTTAATTTTTCACTATTAATTTCTAATAACAAAAAATCTTAATCTGAAGTTGATAATTATATGATAAGCTTAAATATATAGTAATAGATGATTATAGATAAATATATTAATAGACATAAATAAGTTGTGAATGCCACCTGTTTCTTGCCATTCTTTCTATCAAGGTTATCTATAATTATATTAATTTTTCCTATATTAAATTTACTTAATGTTTTATTTTGCAATATTATAAAATATTATATTTATTATATATCAATCTTAAGCAAATTATTGTTGATTTTACAGGCATTACATGAAGGTAGGGTGCATCAAAATCTGCGGCGATTTTCTAATTTTGGACTTATTCATATGACAAGGTTATACGGCAGTGAATATGAAGATCCGAAAGGGCATTGGTATGAATGCAAATGTGTAGAAGATTCATCATTAAAATTACAAATTAGGTAATTTTAAAATATTTTTAATAAAATTGAACTCAAATTTAACTACAAAAAAATTATTTTCAGAAATTATATGATGATTATTTTATTAGTAAATGTAATATAAATTTATATGATAAAAGTTTGTAATTTAATATAGATACTGTATGTATATATATAAACAAACTTTGTAGTAGTAATAACCAATATTATAATTGTACTATTTCTATTGTTGATAAATTGAAAAATTATCCACTATTTAAAAATGTATAATGACATACTGTATGTTGGAGTGATGCAATTTTAGATATTGATCATTACCTCAATTAGCAATCAAGAATATTACAAATTTTGCTGCTAGAGAAGTATGGACTGATATAATTAAAATTGTGTCATTGTGTCATTATTGAAATTAAGATCTAATTTTAAAGCATCAGTCAATACCAGGATATTTACAAATATGAAACACATTCTTAGTTCTAATACTCTTTCAAATGAAAGTGAGAGATTATAATTATTACTGAAAAAAAAAAAATAGCAAGCTATTAACTTATGTTAATTAAAATTAGTTGATATATAAACATAACATAAAATATATATACACACTTATATAATTGTACAAATGAGGTAAAAACCAAAAGAACCTTGGTCTAAAAGAACCATTGTGCTTATATTGCATAACTTCAAAACTTAAAATTTCAACACAACTTTTTAACACTACAATATTATTGTTGATTATCACAGTGAGTATAAGAGGATTTTTACTTTGAAAAAAATGCATTTTTACTAGACACATCAAAAAATTCAAAATAATCGTATGTCTTAACTGTTTGGCATACCTTAATTTTAATTCTCAGTTTAGCTAATGTAGCTTATTTAACATCATACTTTAAATCTATAGCTCTTAAATGATCAATAATATATTCAAAAACTCAAATATAAAATTAAGTTAGAATATATTTAGAAAATAACTTGAATATTTATTCATTTGTATGTGACATTCTTTTGTCATGAGGTTTACATTAAGAAGTAGAATATGTTCTAGATTTATTTTATGCAATGCATTTTTATTTGAAAAAATTTACTGTTTATAAAAGAAATTATGTAAGATTGATTTTTTTTTATTGCACAAAATTTGTAGTAAATAGGGAAAAAAAATTGCATAACTTATAAACTTGCATATGTTACCGCTAAAGCTCGAAATCCGTTAATGTGTACATTACCTAGCTAATCTGCAGATTAACTAGGGTGATCCATTAAAGCTGCGAAAATTGTTCAATTTCTCAAATTACCTAGGTAATTTGCAGAGTATCTAGGTAATCTGCACATTAACGGCTTCCGTATCGTTAAAGTTCAAAAGTTTGTTTCTTTCACTTCCTTTCCCCACTCCTTCTTTTTACGTAGATAAATTTAAATCCTAGAATGCAAGCAAGCACCGAATTGGTGAGTAAAATCAAGAAAAGATTCTTCGCAAACCTCTTTAGCGAAGATTTAAAATATAATACGTAGTGTTTTAATAACAAACCAAAGTATGATTCCATAATTGAAGATGTAAAGCAAATAAAAGTTTCCAAGAAGAAAGAATCATCTCGAGATTATCAAATAATTCAAAGGTGTGATGTGTTGACTGTACGAGGCTGTGAAAAACTCATTGAGCCGTTGTCAGATGCGCGAGAAAGGTTTGAAAAAGTTTGTCCATGCCGGAGAATTGTTTGACATTCGATAAAAACTGAAGAAGACCTTGAAAAATTAGAAGATTCACAAGAGACTGTGATTATGAGATCACAGTCAAATCTTACTCAAGAGGACATTCCGTTATCCCCCGCTTCTACAGAATCACCTATAGAAATACAAGAATTTACCGATAGTAATCTTAAACTGCCTTCTATACCGTTGATTGATGATGCAGTCACGAAGAATATTCAGTTACCCTGCACCTCCAAGGAATCGCCTCTGCAAGTTGAAGAAGTCATCACTGAGTTACTCTCAACTTCAGCAGAATCGCCATCACAGTTTCGTACGGAGCCTGTAAAGAGCACTATACAAGACATAGTCTGTATTGTTTGCTCAAAAGCAGCATCAAGTGCTCACAAGTGTAAATCGTGTAATATGTTTGTTCACGCAGTTTGTGGTGAAGTAGATCCTAAAGAGGAAGGGTATGGTAAGAATGTATTGTGCATCATCTGTAAAAAGAATATGGATCAGAAAATACAGCGTGATGAAGCCAAGAAATGTTTAGAAAAGCAAGCAAAGAAAATGTTAGCAGTTTCTAATGCAAAGCACCCAAACGTCGATGAAGGTTTCGCTGTGAGAATTAAAGTACCCGAAGAAGACAGAGCAAAAACTGATGCACGTTCAATTTTAGCTGTGGTTCTTAGTAAAACAGAGGATGGCTTTTATAAACTTGATACTAAAACAGGTATTTTAAAACAATTGTATGCAAAATCTGAATTCAGTGTTTGCAAAGAGAGATTTTTAACGAAAGAAGATGGATGTCCCTGCTGTAGAAATATCTTTACGTCAAACAGCAATAAAACAATCCCTTGGTACTGGGCAGGGTTTCAGAAAATGTGACTGCAAATCTAAATGTACCACAAATAGGCGTGCTTGTCGCAAAAACCAATTGCTACGTAATTCAAAGTGTCACCAATCTTTAGATTGCACTAATAAGTAAGTACAATTTTATCATATGTTTTGCAAATTCATTTCCCTAATTGTAGTAATATTTTAAACCGTTTGATTTTTGTATTAAAGTTTTTTTAATTGATTGATGATTGATTCAATCAACTAATTTGTTGATTGTATTAACTTGATTCTTTAGATATTGAAAATTAAATAAATAACATTATGTTAATTTAAGCGTACAGAAACGTTGCTGTTGTTCCAGCAAAAATCTTATTTTCACTTTACCGAGTGCCTAGTAGGTAATTTGCAGATTACCTAGATAATCTGAACATTACCTAGGTAATTTGAGAAATGGAATAATTTTCGCAGCTTTAACGGATCACCCTAGTTAATCTGCAGATTAGCTAGGTAATGCGCACATTAATGGATTTCGAGCTTTAGTGGTAACACATATACTATGTCTATAGATTGTAAATTAAACTAAAAAACTGTTTATAATTGCATGATTAATTTTATACACTTAGAAATGATATTTTTAGATAAATTTAAAAATTATATGAAATATTTTCTTTTGTAGATTGCTTTCTGATAAAATCACTGTTGAAGAATTACAAGGTTTTGATAATACTGGTAATGTATGTAAGTACATTAGATTTAAAACGTCATCAGTTTCTATACTATTGAATATTAAAGTATAATTAAATTGTTGCGAAAATTATTAAGCTAATTAGGAATTATATAAATTTAAAGAAAGAAAAACAAAAATACTATAATTTGATATTTATATTATCAATTAATATTTTTCAGAAATTTTTAAATTTAACATTATTGTAGTAATATTGTAATTGTTTTGTGATGACAACAGTTATATTATAATTTACTATAATTGATACTATAAATAATTGAATGTAACATAAATGGCAAATTAAAAACTTTTTAATTCTTTAGGTATATGGCCATCAGAAGAGGTATTAGCATATTATTGTATGAAAAATAAAGAAATTTTTGGGTATGTTTCTTATTAGTGACTTATATAGAAAATTTAACTATAATAAAAACAAGTTTATTTAATTTTTTAATATAATTTTATAGTGGGAGAAGTGTCTGTGAACTTGGAGGTGGAATGACATGTCTCAGTGGCTTGGTGGCAAGTTTAACATTTTTTAAATACTTTTTCTTAAATTATGTATCAACTACAATAAAATTTAAATAAGTTATATATTGCTTTAAAAGAATACAATTAATTTTTATTATTTAGTGGCTTGAAAATTAATATTTTTTAAAAGTACAACACTAGGCAATTTTTAAATCTTTTTAACAATCATAAATTGATATATTGTTTAGTTCACCATATTTTTGCACAGATTACCTGCAGGTTGTATGTTTGAATGGCATTTTGGAAAGGGTAGGTTATATGCCAACTTTAAATTCAACCAATCATCAAACAGCTTTTCCTTTATCTGACTTCACTAAGAATGTCTTTAGAAAACTTGAAAAATCCTTTGTGCTTTGCAGATATATTCATCTACCATCACAATTTTCTCCTCAAACCTTTCAGTTCTCCCTTATTTATTTTCTGTATATTTAATCCTTGATATAATTAAATACACACCTATTTGAATTATTTTCTATATATTTCAACATTTATTATGATTAATATTGTATTGGTAGAGTGAAAAAAAATTACTTCTTTTTCTTACTATAAAATTTACTTATCTACTTATATTAACATTGCGTTAGTGCACTGAGTTTTTTTTCGGCATTAGTGCAGTGGGGCGTTTGTCCACCCCAACATTTTTTTGGGTCCATAAACCATGTAAGTAAAAATTCATAAAGATTTACTCATTTATTTGGTAAAGGCATGTGTCATTATACATATGATTATATTCAGGTATGATTACATATTATATTAGTACATAAATCCACGAAAATAAAAAACAACATTTATCAAAACTCATTACATTAGATCTTATTATTAAACCAATAGTAAAAATCTAAATTGTTTTTTAAGCATTTTTGTCACTCTGATTCAATAGCTGACATTGTACTTTGGCACTCAGTGCAAATGACAAGCAACTTGCTATGTTTGGTATTTTCTCAATGTGTTTATGAAAGTCAGCCATTTTGAATTAAAATAAACTTAAATTATTTTTATTCACATTGATTATTATATCTATATTATAAATAATAAATGTGGTCACATTATAGTTATTTTAAAAATAAACAAACTAAATAAATATTTGTAAATTTAAAAAAAAAACGTAATTAATACTGTGGGGTGTTTGGACACCCCACTGAGAACTGTTGTTTTTCTCTTACTGGAATTTCTGCAGCATCCTAGTAATTTTTGAGCATGCTCTATACATAAAATCATGAAGCTACTGAAGAGGACACAAATATTTCTTGCGAAATCTATGAATAGTGCAACTTTCAAAACGTTAGGGGTGGCGAAACGCCCCACTGCACTAACCCAGGGTTAATTGATCAAATGAAGTAGATAAACAATTGATCAAAATATTTTACATAAAATAACTATGATTTTATGAGAGTAAGGATAAACTTTTACAGGAAAATATTTTATAAAAGCTAAATTTATACAACAACATGCAACTTGTTTTATAAATTTAAATAAAAATTGTAATTTATTTCTTGTTTCCAAAGAGATATAATTTTAAATTAAAATTTATTGGTCATGTTTGTGATAACTAGAATATTTTCCTCTTATGGACATCTATCTTGAGTAATTAATTAAATATGCATTAGACAATATTTTTATTGAATCAAAAGATTTTTTTTTATATTTATAACATGAAATTTATCACTGTATAAACTATTAATAGGTACTGTATATAATAAATTTGTCATTTTAATAAAGACAAAAATAATGAACATTTTTGTTATGAAATTTTTTCTGGTTTTACTTAGGAAAGTATTTATCTTCAGAATAAATGTTTATTCCTTTTTACTTAATATTATATAACACTTCTTTAATATGAAGATGATTTTTATGAAATAATAATATATCATAGAGAAATTTTTTATATTGATAGTATTTCTTTTAATAAATGGAGCAAGACATTGAAGACTTCAGTTTTATTTAATTACAAGAATAACACTAATAAAATGTTGCACTAATAAATGAATAGTCATTTCAGAGTAAATAAAATTCATTAAAAGAATTTTTTAATTTGAAAATTGTATAATCTAAAAATGTTATCAAATTCAAATCTTCAATTATTACTCAAGCAACATTAGGTAAAAATGTAGAAGTTAAATATAAAAACTTTTACATTTTTATTCAACAGTACAGCAATGAACTGCAGAGTTTGATTTTTTTTTTAACAAGTTGAAATAGTTAATAATATACTACTAAAACAATGTTATAGTGATATTTTCAATAAAATTTATTATATATACATGCATACATACAATACTATGTGTATTCATATTTAATTAGTAAATTATATTAAATTATTTTCATAATTTAATATAAGATAAAACAATAATAATTTCAGAATAATATAAATAATAATTTTAATTTACTTATTCTTTGTGTGTACATATAACGTAATAATTATATTTATATAAACATCTTACATGTTTTGAAATTCTAAAAATTTCAGGTTGCAGCTACAGCTGGAGCAAAGGAAGTTTTCATTACTGATGGTAATAACAAAGCAATTCAAAGTATCCTTGCATTTTTTATTTTACAAAATTTTTGGTTTGGTATTTCTATTAGTGTTTAAATACAGTACAAACTTGATAATCCACACATTTATCAGTTTTACACATCCTGTAATCTGACACTAGTTGACTCTTGGGTATTAACAAAATTGTTTCCAAGTTGTAGATCAGCTTCCAACTGGTTCAAATTCTATTTTTTCAGTAAATGTAGCATGATATCAGTTCTGAGCTTTGGTGCAATATTAAATACTTTTAGGCTCATCATCATTCTTTGCTTGAAAAAGATACAGTATCTTATAATACAATGCTGTTTAAATATTTTCATATTTTCTTGCTCTTCTACAGTTATGTATTTTATTAATACAATGTACTGATATCATGCAAATAAAGAATTGATTTCTTCCCAAATGATTAATCATTGTAAAATTTACCTTACTTCTAATAATCTGACACTATTTGATTCCATATATATTGGGTTACCAAGATTGTACTGTAATGCAAACATAAAGTGGAGAAAGTGTTTAACAATGTGGTGGTGTGGAGGACAAATAAAAGGATGACAAAGAAGTAACTATAAATTAAACAGGATTTTATTTAACTACGGTTACGTGATCCTTCTTACACCTGGTTCGTTTACACTAAACACATGTGATTCCAAACTATAGTACGCATATAAGTTCGATGCCATCCGACATATTCTTTATGCTTTCACATGCAAGAGACACGTGTTCGCGACAATGAAAATTTATGGTTTGAGAGATATTACAACTAACTTAAATTACCTTAATCTAACTTATATACTAAGGAAGAAGGATGAAGAAATTAAGAGATATGAAGAGATGAGACAAGTATAAAGGACAGATTTGTGGGGGTACCTGGGTAAATTTGGCAGTCTGGTCTTCTCTATATTGGAACTTGAGTCAATTTCCTTCCTCTCGTTTCCATTCCTTGAGAATTCAAAGCATTCTTGAAGCCTTAATTTGGGTGTTCTTCTATTTCGTTTGCTCACAGACAACTTCCAAGCCTTCTCCTTTTGTCCCACTAGGCGACAAACTTTGGCTGGTTCTTTCCTACGTCTGTTCACCTCGGATGCTGACCCAAAAGTGTCCTGTTCGTTTTTACTGATGGCATCAGGGCTTCTTAGTATTCCCTTTGTCATCTCCCTTTGTCCCCCACCCATAGAAAAAGGTTGAACAAAGGTTGTCCCCACCCATAGAAAAAGAATAGGTTAGAAAGTTTTAGAAACAGACGTTAAAGACAAAGGAATTTAGGGAGAATAAAACTTATATCTACCCCTATGTACATAGACATGGTGTACCGCCACAACAAAAAGAAATTATTAAGAGAAAAAGTTTTTTTAATGATTTCAGTAAATTGATTTGAAATTAAGTAACTGAGAACACTCATTCCCAAAATGCAAAGTAAACAGAAATTGATTGGAGTAAATGAAAGTAAATAGAATTTTCCTATATTAAATTTACTTAATGTTTTATTTTGCAATATTATAAAATATTATATTTATTATATATCAATCTTAAGCAAATTATTGTTGATTTTACAGGCATTACATGAAGGTAGGGTGCATCAAAATCTGCGGCGATTTTCTAATTTTGGACTTATTCATATGACAAGGTTATACGGCAGTGAATATGAAGATCCGAAAGGGCATTGGTATGAATGCAAATGTGTAGAAGATTCATCATTAAAATTACAAATTAGGTAATTTTAAAATATTTTTAATAAAATTGAACTCAAATTTAACTACAAAAAAATTATTTTCAGAAATTATATGATGATTATTTTATTAGTAAATGTAATATAAATTTATATGATAAAAGTTTGTAATTTAATATAGATACTGTATATATATAAAAGAAACAGTAGTAAAAATTATAAAATTGTTAAAATAAATATTACATTTTATGTAACTTATAATTATATGTTGCAGTTCTTTAATTTAGGATATATGAAATCATCTTTGAAAATATTTATTACATTTGTTAATATTAAGTGACATTTAACATCAGAGCTGAAATAAAAATTTACAGTATATACATTTAATTTAAGTATTTAATTATGGCATACCAACTTGAATTTTTATTTAACTGAATTAAAAGCTATATATAATGTATTTTTCAAATTATACGTTCTCTTTGAATTAGAAGCATACCTATTTAAATAATGAAAAAAATTAAAGTACATGGGAGACTAAAAGTACTGGTAGAAGTACTGGTAGAAGTACTTACATAATTTACAATTTCTCAAAAACTAAGTGCATGATAATGTTTCTGCTGTGAAGCATAATGAAATGGACCAAAGACAAAATTTATTTATTTTTCTATTCTTGTATCTAAAAAAGTTAAAGAAACTATTACATCACATTGTTTAAAAAATAGAAAAACATTGAAATTTTGTAACTAAAACTACATAATATTAAAAACTAAGTTAAAAAAATTTAAAGGTGATTTTGAATTAAAAGAAAAATACCCCTGAAATAGAAATCTGCCTCCTCGTACCTTAAAAACAATAGGTATATGCTTATGATTAGGAAATATGGTATTTAGATTGTTTTTTATTTATCATATGGACTCAAAGATAATAGTGGAATTAATTACAAAAAAAAATGTAAAAGAAGAGACATTAAGTATTCAAAGTTATAATTCAGTTTGTTTATGAAATATAATTCTCACTGAATTGTTTTAGAAAGACAAGTTTATCAAATTATTTAAAATACAGTAGAGCATCGATTATCTGACTCAATTGGGGACTCAGGTTGGTCGGGTAACTGAAAAAATCGGATAACCGAAAATAAAAAAATACATTATTAGTATAGTACATTAGTATATTGCTATTAATTAGTTAAATGTAATTTGTATATTAGTATATCGTTAACTTACTTTATGTTGAATTTTCATCGATGTTAAGCCTAACAAATTTTTTATAAAAATAATAATCATTGCTATTGTATCATTAAAAATTATTTTTAAATTATTTTATTGCTCACAAAACAAACAACCACTCATAATCAGAAAATTAAATCTCGTTTAAATACTGGGCTCCCTTTCATGGTCGAGCCAGTGTTGCCAGCTAAAACACGCAAAAATTTAACAAAAATTATATTAAAGTAGCCAAGACATAGCTAAATATTGTAGCGCCACATCACTGGCGGACATTTGAAATTTGTCGACTAGAACGGTCGGTTAACCGATGTGACGGTTAATCGGGGGTCGGATAATTGATGCTCTACTGTAATTATTTTTATATTAATGTTTTCAAGTTAATATACAGAATTAACTTAAATGATAAAAGTAATATCTGAAGTAATTTTCAAGTATTTACGCTTAAAATTTTTCTTTTAAACTGATTGAAATTTATTGATGATATGTAAAACTATCTACAAAATATATAAATTAAGATAGTGTTTGAATTGATAATGGGAATTTAATTAAATTTCCATAAAGTTAAAAATGAATTTTAAATAAAGTGTGAATATTCCTTAACATTGAATAGATGTTAATTTGATAATTGAACGCAATCTGCACTGCTTCGGAATTACACAAGTAGTAAGCAGGCAAGTAAATTGAATTTATTTGAACAATCTTTGAATTTATCACTTTGTAACATGTTTAGTATAACATGTGTTGGTAAACATTAACTTTTAACAAATTATAATAATTTTTTAAAAATTTTTAAATCAAACATTAGTTCAAAACTTGCATTTTAAATCTGCATTACTATTAATAATTTTAAAACATTATTGTTACTTTTATTATGGTGACTCTGACACATCTTTTATATTACTGCAATGAAATTAATTTTTATATTATTAACATGACAATAAAAATATATATTAACATTTTGTGTTCACTTTTTCATATTAAACAAATTTTTTTCAATAAAATCGAGTTTTAGTACATATAATTAAATACTTTTAAGCTACAAAATTTAAATATTTGTTTTTACATTGAGAAATATGAAAGAAAATAAATTTTCTTGCAAGAAATTATATGAAGTTCCAAAATTAGTGTTAGTTCCTAATCTGTTGGCAAAATTAGAGCCCATAAAGCTGAATGATCTTAGACCAGTATTTGAAAAGACTCAGACCCCACTATTATAACAGAGAGTGCTTTGCATGAGTACTGGTGAATTTAGAAGTTAAATTTGCATAAAAAGTTGGCAGCTCTTTAGAAATTTACATGAATTGTGACCTTATAACGATAATGGTCTATGCTAGATAAAGATAGAAACTCAATTGCTTTTACTAGGGAAGTGATATGTAGCAAAAAAGTTCTGAATATTGATAAGTACAAAATAGTGGCAGACTACATTGATCTAATCCTTTCACTCATATCTCAAGTGGTGTGCAAGTGTTATATGCAGGAAGTGGGTGTACCTATGGGCTAGCCCATCTCTGGAAACCTAATAGAGTTAATGGTTTTATTGGAGTTCACTGTATTTATATCATAAGTCAGATATTGCACTAAAGTTTTCAGAAAACCTGAAAGTGTAAATTGTATTTTTGTATATGCTTTGTAGGTTGGCTGACTCAGTTAGCTACAACTATCTGCCTTTTAGACCCCCCAATAGTCAGGCTAAAATTGTCTTGCTTTCATCCTGCCAACACACAAGAGATGGGAAATTAATATAATGGTCCAATTGGCATGATCTCTTGGCTTCCCAAGAAAGATGGTAAATGGACTAGTTAGAAGTTGGTTGAAAAAAATGGTATAGTAAGTAAAACAAAACCAATGAATTTAACTTCTAGATTTGTAGTTACAGGAAGGTTGTAGCCACATTAATTTAGCCATTTGTTAGGATGAACAGCAAACAGATCATGACAAAGAGACTGCCTATCATTATGCAGTCTCTGATCAGATAAAGGTGAAGTAAAAAGTGTAAAGAAAGCAGGAGTATAATTAGTTACACTAACAAGAGATGATAAAAATTTTGTATATACATATATATATACTCAAAGGACATAGGGTTGTAATGCTCTAATGCAAGAGTTAGAGCACTACAACCATATGTCCATATATATTAATTTAAAAATAAAAGAAATGGTAGTAAAAATTATAAAATTGTTAAAATAAATATAACATTTTATGTAACTTATAGTTAATGTTGCAATTCTTTAATTTAGGATATGTGAAATCATCTTTGAAAATATATATAGATATTTTCAAATATATTTTCAATAAATATATATAGGTGTTAAAGTAAGGCCTGAATAGATGACAAAGTAAGATGGATATATGGAACAATGTTTCATTCATGTTCTAAGTAAACATTTTAAAGTGATTAACCATGAAGATTTGGTTGCACTTGATAACAGATGGATAGAGGAGTCGGATAATTGATCTTTGGAGTTGTATGTCTGAGCAGTAATGGCTCTTTTGTTGAATGAAATTTCAGAATGGAAAATGCTTTTCCTTGGCACATAAGCAGAATAAAATGTATAAATTTGATAATGGACATCAAATTATTTTTTATAAATTTTGTAATTGTTCAAATTGATATTAAAAAAAGTTTAAAACAGTTTTTTTTTTTACTTTAATTATCTATATGTATTGTAAGGAGTTGATTCCGAGCTGTTTTATTTTGTTTGGGGCTTGTTTTTAGGTTGTTGTTATATTTATTTGGGGTATTTTATTTCATTACGGATAGACTACCGGACCTCCCTGGACAAAATTCTAAAAGTTAAAATTCATGACAACTGCAGACAGAAAAATTGACATTGTCATCCCAAAATGAGATCTCAGGGGTGGGAGACTTCCACGAGAAGTTAAAAGAATGATCTCCCACCCCCAAATTGTTACTGGACAACACAAAAGTATTATAAAATTGTGAGGAAGTTGACATAAGTAAAAAAACTGATTACTAGAACAAGTAATATGTTACTGTGTAATTATGTAAATAGTGAGTGAGTGGATAAATTGTAATGTCACCACACCTGTGCACGAAAAGGAGACATCTCAGAAGAGGTGAAGCATCAATTTGAACAAGGTGGTGCTAAGAATCAAGCAATCAATGAAAGATTTTCCAGGTCCAGTAACAGAGTTTTGGTGACACAGTCAAATTTATAAGATACATTGTATCTTTTTTTAGAATTGATTCCTATCTTTCTTGTTGATTTTTTGGAAATAGATCTATTTCCAAAAAACTCTAATTTAATTTAAGTTCCCAAATTGTTGGGAAGGTTTTGTACATGTTTGGTTTGATAAAGTATCTTTTTTTATTTTACCAATATTTTCTAGCATTACCAAATTGTATATATATGGGCTTTACTAATAGAATTTTTTTATATTACATATAGAAATTCTTTTGATATTTGATCTTTAGTAATGATAGTTTATTTTTACCTGTGCAAGTCCAGGTCCGGCACTCTAACAATGAATCTTAGTATATAACATGCCATTAGTGTATTTTTCAAAGCTTTTGCTTTACATTCATACAATAAGACATTACAGTATTTTGATTGCTATATATATATCTGTATATATAAAATAATTTACATATGTTAGATTTACAAAATCTGATAATCATGAGTTTCACTAATATATATATATATATATATATATATATATTAGCAAAACTCACGATTATCAGATTATTATGTAAATCTAACAGATGTAAATTATTTTATTGTACACAAAATATTAGCAAAACAGACATGTCTAAACAGAAAATTAAGATATCTTTCAGTTTTTAATTATTTTAAAATGCTTTCAATTATGGATTTTAAACATTTTAAAAATAAAATTTGTATTATTAATAAACTGAAAAATTATTAAATATTTTATTTCTTAAATGATAAAATTTTTATTTTCAGACTATTACGATGGGATAGTGAAGTAGATTTAATTGACTTAAGATCTAGATTTGATGTTATTTTATGTGCAGATTGGTAAGATTTCAAGTTTTCTTTAATTGGAAAAAAATCACTAAAAGCTCTGTTTTAAATTAAACAAAAGTAACTCTTAAATTTTAAAAAAATTATTATATATTACTATTTTTTTAATATTTAGTTTTATCTATATCATACCTTTCAATTGTGGAAAATCGCAAGACTTAATATTCTCACTAATTGTAGGTGAATTACCACATGGGGAAGTGACACAAAGAGGCAATTTAGCAATAAGTTTATATACACTACAAAAATATATGTAATTGTACAATTATATCTAGGCTCACAAGATACAATTCTATGCACACTTAAAGTTCTCACCATTACAATACTATAGTCACAGATAGTTCACACGCCGTAATCCAATTCGTTGCAGAAACAAAGAAACCACAGTAGAGAAGAATATTTCACAATGTATGACAATGTTTCCTTATTGATATTCAGTGACACACATCACTTGAAGGGCACTAAATATTGTGTGAGATCCATGAAATAAAAAATCCAAGACAAATTGTCGATGGATCTTGATTCTGATTTGTACTGTGCCTCACACACCTGAAAACTGTCCTCGACTTAATCAATGCTTCGTACAATTCACTGATCTTTTGAAGAGGAAAAAACAAAAAGCCTCATAACCAGTCGACGTCGTATTAAATACCCCTCTTGTGCACTCGACAGGTTGCCAACCCTTTTTCCTCACTGCAGAAGAATAGCCAAAAATATATATATGACGGAAAGCTGCAACCACACACAACCATCTGCCATTCAGATAGACAGTTTGTCATTTTATTCTGCACCCACCTTGGTAGTTGTCTGGATGCAATGCCTTCCATTTCAGTAAATCAGTGAAATAATTGCAATGATTTAACTAGTTATATCATACATTAATGTACATTACCAAACCTGAAACATTGCTGTCTGCCAGGATTTGATACTATTAATGACTAAAGCTCTGGATATTGTTTTTTTGTGTTGATTATTATTATATATACATATAATACACTAAAAAAGCTAATTTCTGTTGTATATTTTAAGATAAAAAATAAGATTCTTTTATGAAGTAGCCATTTTTATGATCTATCAGCCATTTTCCTTTGTCTAACCAACCAATATGAGTACAGTAGGTTGAGAGGTCAGATATATATAAATTTGGTAAATTTATATATATTCTAGTGATATAAAATTATTTACTAATAATGTATTTTATAATGAAAAAGTGAGAGAAATTAATTTTTTTGTTGACCTTTCCAAAGACATGTCACATGTGAAAGCAAAAGATGCACAAATTTAGAAAGAATATCAATTGTTAGGAAAGTCCTTTGCTTAACAGAGATTAATTTTTACTTTAGTGTTATATTCTCCAATGAGAATTAAAACTATAAAGTAAAAAAGAACTTTAATTTAAGAATAAATATTAATTCAAAATAATTTAATTTTGTAGTTTATATTTTGACGAAGCCAGACAGCCTCTTACAAATACAATTTGGAAAATAATGAAAGATAATGTGAGTTAAAATAATAAAAATTTGATTTTATTTTTGCCATTTTAAATATTTTTAAGAACTTGTATGTTATAAAAATCAGTTTATTTTAAATTTTGTATAATTTAATTTTTAAGTTTATTATTGTTGATTAGATGTAATTTTTATTACTGTAATTAATATAATCAATTAATTAATTAATCAGTCAGTATAATTAAGATATATATCCATGTAATTTATGTACTTAATAAAAATAATTTTGTATTACAACTACATTTCTCCTAATACAGTCAATAAAAATATGAAACTATGAACCGATTGCTTACTATTTTAGTAAATAAGTTAAGAAAACATAAATTTTATTATATTAAACTAGAACCCTTCTAGTTTAATATAATAAAATATATTTTGTTACTTGTTTAAAAAATTTCTTCACTTATTCTCTTTTGTATTCTCTTAAAAGTAGAAAATTAGTATAGGTGCAGTTAGTTTCAAAAATTTTTGTTAAAAACCAGTCTCTAAATTCAATAAGAAAATTTAATTGCTATCAAATGTTAAATTTTTAGCTATTGTATTTTAATGTATGTGATATTTATTTGAGAAGTTATAGTATATTAGTATATATTTCAATCTGTTTTAAAGATAATTTCCATCTATAGCAATTCACTATAATTTTATTGAGAGGATAAGTTACTTCCTCAATCTAATGATAATGCTTCAAATTAAGTTTTAATTATATAAACATAAACTTTTAGAACAGGGACATTAATCACAGTACAGTACTATTTATATATCAGAGAATACTGTTTGTTGATTTTATGCTTCCTTGTGTTTACTAGATTTACATACAAATAACAATGATGAATGACGACAATAAAAAAAGCTCATGTTTCATTTGTAAATTGCTTATTTTTTCATTACATTGAAGTTGTGGATCCTATTAAACATTTTTCTACAGGATGCATTTACTATACTTTTTTGCACAGTCTTTGGAACATATCAACTATGCAAAAAGAGGAATAGGTGTACTCAACGTTCACAATAAGTAAAATGCTGTTTTATTATGTCGATATTCCATACTGTAAGAAATGTGAGGATATTTGGACAAAGTTGGTCAGGTAAAATCAGGGAATTCAAAACAAAAATTTGAGTAGAAACCCTATATATAAATCAGTGGTTCTCAAACTTTTTTTGCAATGGAACCCTTTTATGTTATTTGTAATATAATGGAACCCTTATTTAAATTAATACTTATTATAATAAAAGAAATATTTTATTNAGCTCTGTTTTAAATTAAACAAAAGTAACTCTTAAATTTTAAAAAAATTATTATATATTACTATTTTTTCAATATTTAGTTTTATCTATATCATACCTTTCAATTGTGGAAAATCGCAAGACTTAATATTCTCACTAATTGTAGGTGAATTACCACATGGGGAAGTGACACAAAGAGGCAATTTAGCAATAAGTTTATATACACTACAAAAATATATGTAATTGTACAATTATATCTAGGCTCACAAGATACAATTCTATGCACACTTAAAGTTCTCACCATTACAATACTATAGTCACAGATAGTTCACACGCCGTAATCCAATTCGTTGCAGAAACAAAGAAACCACAGTAGAGAAGAATATTTCACAATGTATGACAATGTTTCCTTATTGATATTCAGTGACACACATCACTTGAAGGGCACTAAATATTGTGTGAGATCCATGAAATAAAAAATCCAAGACAAATTGTCGATGGATCTTGATTCTGATTTGTACTGTGCCTCACACACCTGAAAACTGTCCTCGACTTAATCAATGCTTCGTACAATTCACTGATCTTTTGAAGAGGAAAAAACAAAAAGCCTCATAACCAGTCGACGTCGTATTAAATACCCCTCTTGTGCACTCGACAGGTTGCCAACCCTTTTTCCTCACTGCAGAAGAATAGCCAAAAATATATATATGACGGAAAGCTGCAACCACACACAACCATCTGCCATTCAGATAGACAGTTTGTCATTTTATTCTGCACCCACCTTGGTAGTTGTCTGGATGCAATGCCTTCCATTTCAGTAAATCAGTGAAATAATTGCAATGATTTAACTAGTTATATCATACATTAATGTACATTACCAAACCTGAAACATTGCTGTCTGCCAGGATTTGATACTATTAATGACTAAAGCTCTGGATATTGTTTTTTTGTGTTGATTATTATTATATATACATATAATACACTAAAAAAGCTAATTTCTGTTGTATATTTTAAGATAAAAAATAAGATTCTTTTATGAAGTAGCCATTTTTATGATCTATCAGCCATTTTCCTTTGTCTAACCAACCAATATGAGTACAGTAGGTTGAGAGGTCAGATATATATAAATTTGGTAAATTTATATATATTCTAGTGATATAAAATTATTTACTAATAATGTATTTTATAATGAAAAAGTGAGAGAAATTAATTTTTTTGTTGACCTTTCCAAAGACATGTCACATGTGAAAGCAAAAGATGCACAAATTTAGAAAGAATATCAATTGTTAGGAAAGTCCTTTGCTTAACAGAGATTAATTTTTACTTTAGTGTTATATTCTCCAATGAGAATTAAAACTATAAAGTAAAAAAGAACTTTAATTTAAGAATAAATATTAATTCAAAATAATTTAATTTTGTAGTTTATATTTTGACGAAGCCAGACAGCCTCTTACAAATACAATTTGGAAAATAATGAAAGATAATGTGAGTTAAAATAATAAAAATTTGATTTTATTTTTGCCATTTTAAATATTTTTAAGAACTTGTATGTTATAAAAATCAGTTTATTTTAAATTTTGTATAATTTAATTTTTAAGTTTATTATTGTTGATTAGATGTAATTTTTATTACTGTAATTAATATAATCAATTAATTAATTAATCAGTCAGTATAATTAAGATATATATCCATGTAATTTATGTACTTAATAAAAATAATTTTGTATTACAACTACATTTCTCCTAATACAGTCAATAAAAATATGAAACTATGAACCGATTGCTTACTATTTTAGTAAATAAGTTAAGAAAACATAAATTTTATTATATTAAACTAGAACCCTTCTAGTTTAATATAATAAAATATATTTTGTTACTTGTTTAAAAAATTTCTTCACTTATTCTCTTTTGTATTCTCTTAAAAGTAGAAAATTAGTATAGGTGCAGTTAGTTTCAAAAATTTTTGTTAAAAACCAGTCTCTAAATTCAATAAGAAAATTTAATTGCTATCAAATGTTAAATTTTTAGCTATTGTATTTTAATGTATGTGATATTTATTTGAGAAGTTATAGTATATTAGTATATATTTCAATCTGTTTTAAAGATAATTTCCATCTATAGCAATTCACTATAATTTTATTGAGAGGATAAGTTACTTCCTCAATCTAATGATAATGCTTCAAATTAAGTTTTAATTATATAAACATAAACTTTTAGAACAGGGACATTAATCACAGTACAGTACTATTTATATATCAGAGAATACTGTTTGTTGATTTTATGCTTCCTTGTGTTTACTAGATTTACATACAAATAACAATGATGAATGACGACAATAAAAAAAGCTCATGTTTCATTTGTAAATTGCTTATTTTTTCATTACATTGAAGTTGTGGATCCTATTAAACATTTTTCTACAGGATGCATTTACTATACTTTTTTGCACAGTCTTTGGAACATATCAACTATGCAAAAAGAGGAATAGGTGTACTCAACGTTCACAATAAGTAAAATGCTGTTTTATTATGTCGATATTCCATACTGTAAGAAATGTGAGGATATTTGGACAAAGTTGGTCAGGTAAAATCAGGGAATTCAAAACAAAAATTTGAGTAGAAACCCTATATATAAATCAGTGGTTCTCAAACTTTTTTTGCAATGGAACCCTTTTATGTTATTTGTAATATAATGGAACCCTTATTTAAATTAATACTTATTATAATAAAAGAAATATTTTATTTGAAACACGCTTACCATAAATTGGAATATCAAGTTTTAGTGAGATGAATGTGTGAGACAGCAAAGGGCCAGGGGTTAATCCCTCCTGACCACTTACACTGCACATGCTGGTAAAACCTGGTCTCGGAGTCATCAGATGGCTAGGAGGGCAAAAAGTGAGTGGGGAGTGCGTCGGTAAGCCGGCAGGCGTCCTTAGAACAATGATAGACAGGTTTAACAAAATAAACAAGCATAACTAAGCTAGGTTACAAGAGGCAATAATAATAATAAGTTTAAAAGCGGTTAAATATGAGATAAATATACAAAGGGACAGCTCTTAGCAGCTAAGCTTATTCTCGGAGAGAGAGTTCACAATGCTCTAACAACAATACCTCTATGAGGAAATGAATGATATGCATTGAATGGTTCATAGGAATCGTAGTCGGCACAGGAACTGTAGTATGGCGATAAGTATGGAAGTTTGAAGCTGTGGTCTGTGTTCTACTGATGTCTTCGTTCACTGTATGGAGGTCCAGGAGACGAGATGCACACATTGACAAGTATAACTTCCTTTGGATTGCCCTGAGCTTCCGGGGGCTCGAGCTTTTATACGTTTGTTGTGGGAAAGGAGTCACATGATCGTCATCTGTTGGCATTAACGTTCTTGACACCTATGTGTCAACTTTCCCACCTAATTGTGATAACAAACAGTGACCTCCAGTATAATTCTCACTATGAGTGTTTTTTTTTTATTGGAGTTGTTTACAACTCTTTTTTCCCGACAACTGCGTTAAAATTGCGAATTTCACAAATGCGTCTGTTTTTTTTTTTTTTTTTTTTTTTTTTTTTTACAATTTT